GCAAATGGAGTTCTTCTGTGGAATGGACGTCCTTTAGGTAGGGTGGTCCTGCTTCTTCTTGTGGTGTGTGCTGCTACTTCATCGTCGTCGTCATGTTTGATCTTCAGGTCGCCGTACTTGTCGAAGTCTTGCTCATTGGCTACTCCATCCATTCCGATGATCTTCCTTTTGCCTCTCCTCACGACAACACGACTGGGCTTTGGCGGGTCGGTAATGAAGAAGCATTGGTCCACTTGGGAAGCCAGTACCCATGGCTCATTTTTCGCGGTGACATTTGCGCCCGCGGTCTTGGATTTGGCTTCGGGAATAAACACGACTGGGCTTTGGCATAGTGCGCCATTAGTAGGTTTGCAAAAAAGTAAAAAATATATATATACTAATGGCGCACTGTCTTGGTCGTGCGCCATTACTAGTTCTAACTAGTAATGGCGCACTTTTCCATCCCTGCACCATTAGTTTGTATGGAAAAATGGGAAAAAAATCAATAATAGTGGCGCACCGTGAGCACGGTGCGCCATTAGTGTCTTCCACACTAACGGCGCATGAGCAACCGGTGCGCCATTAGTATATAGTAGTGGCGCACTACTTACCTGGTGCGCCATTAGAATCAGTCCTATCTATAGCCCTTTTCCTAGTAGTGCATCCAGGGAGCAGACGAAACACAATTTCCACCACCGTAACCTTCTGTATCCGCGAGATCTCATCTTGGAGCCTTCGCCGGCACTCTGGCGGAGGGAGAATCGACCACAGAGGGCTTCTACATCAACATCCTTACCCCTCCGATGAGTTGTGAGTAGTTTACCACAGACCTACGGGTCCATAGTTATTAGCTAGATGGCTTCTTCTCTCTTTTTGGATCTCAATACAATGTTCTCCCCCTCTCTTGTGGAGATCTATTCGATGTAAACTCTTTTTGCGGTGTGTTTGTCGAGATCCGATGAATTGTGGGTTTATGATCAAGTTTATGTATGAATAATATTTGAATCTTCTCTGAATTCTTGTATGTATGATTGAGTTATCTTTGCAAGTCTCTTCGAATTATCAGTTTGGTTTGGCCTACTAGATTGATCTTTCTTGCCATGGGAGAAGTGCTTAGCTTTGGGTTCAATCTTGCGGTGTCCTTACCCAGTGACAGAAAGGGTTGCAAGGCACGTATTGTATTGTTGCCATCGAAGATAACAAGATGGGGTTTATATCATATTGCTTGAGTTTATCCCTCTACATCATGTCATCTTGCTTAATGCGTTACTCTGTTCTTGTGAACTTAATACTCTAGATGCAGGCAAGAGTCGGTCGATGTGTGGAGTAATAGTAGTAGATGGAGGCAGGAGTCGGTCTACTTGTTGCGGACGTGATGCCTATATACATGATCATGCCTAGATAATCTCATAATTATTCGCTTTTCTGTCAATTGCTCGACAGTAATTTGTTCACCCATCGTAATACTTATGCTATCTTGAGAGAAGCCTCTAGTGAAACCTATGGCCCCGGGGTCTATCTCTTATCATATTTGCTTCCAATCTACTTTTTTATTTGCATCTTTACCTTTTTGCATCTATATTATAAAATACCAAAAATATATTTATCTTATCTTACTATCTTTATTAGATCTCACTTTCGCAAGTGGCCGTGAAGGGATTGACAACCCCTTTATTGTGTTGGTTGCGAGTTCTTTGTTTGTTTGTGTATGTGCGTGGGACTTTTGAGGAGCCTCCTACTGGATTGATACCTTGGTTCTCAAAAACTGAGGGAAATACTTACGCTACTCTGCTGCATCACCCTTTCCTCTTTAAGGAAAACCAACGCAAACTCAAGAAGTAGCAGGAGTCACTAATGGGCGTACCCAAGTAGGTCGTGGGAAAGGAGCCCAGGCGGTAGTTAAGCCGGTTGGCAATGGCTAGACACTCCTCGGGAGGGTAGCCCATCACCATAACATCACTCTTGTCGAAGTTAATCTTAAGGCCAGACATTTGTTGGAAGTAGAGGAGGAGGAACTTGAGGTTGGAAATGTCCGCCTCCGAGCCTTCGACCATGATGATGGTGTCGTCGGCATACTGGAGGAGGAAAATCCCGGACCCTCCGGCAAGGTGGGGGGTGATCCCATGAATATGGCCAGCAGCCTTCGCCTTATCCAAGATGGTGGCAAAGGCGTCCACGCCCATGTTGAACAGGAATGGGGAGAAGGGGTCGCCTTGTCGAACCCCACATAGGGTGGGGAAGAAAGGACCGATCTCGCCGTTGATGTTAACAACCATGCGACCGCAAGAGACCATCTGCATGACTCTGGTGATCCAACGGTCATCGAAGCCCTTCCGGAGTAACACTTCTCGAAGGAAGGACCAACTAACAGTATCATAGGCCTTACGGAAATCAATCTTCACGAAGACAGCCTTGAGGTGTTTGGCGTGGACCTCATGGAGGACTTCATGAAGAACAAGGACCCCATCTAGTATATACCAGCCCCGGATGAAGGCGGACTGGTTGGGGTGAGTAACGCGATCTGCAAGAAGGGTCACCCTATTGGCGTACCCTTTTGCAAGAATCCGGAAGATCATGTTGATGACCGTGATCTGGCGAAACTAGCGAATGTCGGAAGCGCCAGGCACCTTGGGAATGAGAGATATTATCCCAAAGTTGAGGCGACCGAGGTCGATGGACCCAACATAGAACTCTTCGAAGATGGCCATGACCTCAGGTTTTATCACTTTCCAGAAGGTCTGGAAGAACTTAACCGGGAGGCCTTCAGGACCCGGCGACGAGGTGGGGTTCATGCCCCTAATGGCAGCCCAAACCTCGTTCTCGGAGAAGGGGGGCGTAAGGGCCGCGTTCTCCGAGTCAGAGACCAGCTGGGGGCCAGTCCAGCAGTCAGGGGCCAGGGAGAGTCCGCTCCTAGGAGCGGCAAAGAACAAAGATCTATAGAACCCATCAAAGTGGGTCCGAATGTCGCGGGGGTCTTGAAGGAGGGTTGCACCGTCCCACAAGAGGGGGATGGTGTTGCGACGACGGCGGCCATTCGTGATCGCCTGAAAGTAAGCCGTTTTCGCGTCACCCTTCAAAACCCACATCTGGGCACCACGGATGCGCGAATAGGCCTCTTCGTCGGTGTATATGACGGAGAGCTGATCTTCTAAGTCATAGCGGGAAAGCCACTCATCGGGAGAGAGTCCCACTGCATCCGCACGCAAGTCGAGCGCCTGAATGACGGTTAACAGGGCCTTTTGCGATCACGGAGGTCCCGACCCAACTTAGCGCCCCACCCCTTCATGAACCGCCGGCCACGCTTGGCACAGAAGTGCCATGAATCAATGGCCGAGGGGGGACGGGGGTGAGGGTGAGCGCGGGCCTCCACGAACCCGGTTTGGGATAGCCAGAAGGTCTCAAACCGAAACCGTGGGGTGATTGGCGAGCGCTCATCGGTGGAGGAAAGAAGAAGCGGGACATGGTTGTCGCCATTTTTAAGAGATTACACCTGGACGGAGGGAGTAGAAGAGTAAATCGATGTCATGCGTGTGTGCAATAAATTAGGAAGAGTTAATTCGAAAGAGATCAAATGCAATGGTTTGTCGCCATTTTTAAGAGATTACATCTCTACAAGCATTGATTTCTTGCAATAACCAAAGTCTCGAAATTGTCGTTGTCATGTTTAAGTATATCATTAATTATATCTTGGTCTCGTTGATTTTGAAGGGGCAGGACATGCGTGTGGCAGAACATTGAATTTGGGTTGTTGGACTTGTTGGTGACAGACCACGGAAGCCAAATGGACTCTTCAATACAACTAAACGCATTAGATCGTAGGGCGCTGGTAGTCTTGTTTACACTAAATTTAATGGCTTTAAAAGAATTACAACTGACGCTTTTATAAGCACTAAATATAAATTATATAGATTTAATATAGATTTTAGATTAATTAGGAACAAAAATGAGTCACCCGCAAAAAAAAAGGAACAGAAATGTGTGGGCAAAACGAGAGCCGTGAGATTGAAATTGGATGGCTGGTATCCCTGCTACAGCGCCCCTGCCGTGCGTTACAACGTGAGTGCAGAGGACACGGAGATAGCGTGGCGCCGCCGCCACCGTCGCCAACGGCTCCCTCGCAAACTTGGCTGGCTGGCAACAGGGAGAGTAATCGCCAAGGAAGACAACCGCCACAGGATCAAATATATAGGCATATATAGCAACGCAGGTCGCAGGCAGGGGAGCAACATACGTAGTACACAACTTGTTCAGGATCGTCTTCTCCAACTCCGGCGCCGGCGGGTACGTACGTATCTCTTCCTACTCACCCCGCTCCTCCTCCTCCTCCTTGTACATGCATGCATATACTCTCCGATAAATCCGAGGACCATTGGAGCGAGAGGCCGGGGTCCTCGGCTGCTCGCTGACGAACACATAGATCGGCTGGTATTCTGGGCGGGCAGAGAGAGTGCCAAGCTGTTGCAGATCGAGTTGGACTTCAAGCGAATCTGATATGTGGTAGTTTATTCAGTTTGGGTTTAGAAAAAAAAACCTAATCACTTTCATGATCATTAATCTGATGGACATGTGGTAATTTATCTACTTTTTCTTTGTTATGACATTTTTACTCCGTGTAGCGAGTGCCCCAAATCATTCAGTTCCATGCAAGTTTTTGCTATGACATTCAGTTTCAAAAATCAGTGTGTTCATTTTATTTTATTTTTGGTTTTTTTGCTGCGAAAACAAAATAAGTCTGTTCATTGAATGTGCAGAATTATTTCCAGATTTATAACTTGAAAAATCAAATCTCAATCGATGATGAAGAAATCAGTGTGCTCATTGATCACGTTTATCTATAATTAATTAATTCCAGCAACCTGAAAAATCATATCTCAATTGATGATGAAGAAATAACTGTGTTCATTGATCATGCATGTGTATCCAGAATAAATTCCAACCTCTCAACTGATTGATGCCTGCAGGTGGTTGAAGGCCCTCTTTCTGAACCCAAGTGCGTGCTCTCCATCAAACAAGGCCTCAAGATGTTCGTCGTAGAAGACAAGGGCAGTGCCATTGCTCTCATGTGTGCTGCCCTCCTCTTCCTGGGCACATGGCCAGCATTGCTCACCCTCTTGGAGCGCAGAGGCCGGCTACCGCAGCACACGTACCTTGATTACTCGATCACGAACCTCCTCGCCGCGGTCCTCATTGCACTCACCGTGGGCCAGCTTGGGGAGAGCAAGCAAAACATACCCAATTTCTTCACCCAGCTCAGTCAGGTTAGCTTAATTAGCTGCCTATAAGTAATCATGCATTTATTTATTTATTTATTTATGCAACAATTTCCTGATGAGACAGACACTTGTTCCTTCAGCTTGCTAACTCTGAATGATTTTTTTGATGAAGGATAACTGGCCTTCGGTGCTGTTTGCAATGGCAGGGGGCCTTGTGCTCAGTATTGGGAACCTTTCTACACAATATGCTTGGGCATATGTGGGTCTCTCAGTTACTGAGGTTATCTGCGCAAGCATGGTTGTTGTAATAGGTAAGTTTGTAAACATTCTTACTTTTTTTTTCTGGTTATATATGTTTCTGATGATGCATGTGATGTACAGCCCATTCTAGAGCATAATCCTCCTTTATTAAGCATCACAGGAGGGGTCTTTTACCCCATAACACCGGTTATCTGACAGTTTTAGTTGCTTCAAGAAAGTGTCTGTCAATTGTAGGCAGATCATTTATTAAAAACAGCTCAAGATATGAACATATTTGAAGATATGGGTACAGCTGACATATGAAAAAGAACATTTCCGGTTAACTAAACCGATGCACCGAATTACCTGTTGGCTCTGCTATTATCCTGTGTCCTCAAAGAATTCCACTCATTTTTAACGCGCGTTGTATTTTCAGGCACAACACTGAATTATTTCCTGGACAACCGCATCAACAGGGCAGATATTCTTTTCACTGGAGTGGCTTGCTTCCTTGTTGCAGTCATCCTTGGGACTGCTGTACACTCTTCTAATGCAGCTGACAATGAAGAAAAACTAAGTGAATCCACAAATGGCTACAACCTTGGGTAACATCTCACTTTCTTGCACATTTTTTCAGTCACACCGAGTCAATCTTCGTAAACCATTTTACGTCTTATGGTTGCTTCTCTGACCATTATTATAATGTCTAATTTAACAGGAAAAATGGAGGTATGGATCCAAGCAAACAAGGTATACATGGTCATGACTACTGGTACTGTTGATGTATTGCAGTTGCAGATTCTAGTTGCTAACTTTGCCTATTTCAGATGCACTAGAGGTGGACATAGAGAACGGAGCTTGCGCAGAAGAGGGCACCAGAGCTGAAGCAGGAACCGCAGAATACCTAATTGAGCTCGAAGGCCGGCGTTCGGTTAAGGTAAAATCGTAGCGCTAATTCTGTCACAAGTCATTTTATTTCAGAGAGCAAAAAAAAATCAGATAGTACTGGATTTTTGCAACACCAATGAAGTGAACTGATGTAATCAAACTTGTTGGTTATTTTCCAGGTGTTTGGATCAAGCACCCTCAAGGGGCTTGGGCTGGTTTTCTTTGCCGGGGTGTGCCTCTCGCTCTTCTCCCCGGCACTCAACCTCGCTACCAATGACCAGTGGCACACCCTGAAAGGCGGCGTCCCGCATCTGGTTGTGTACACCGCCTTCTTCTACTTCTCCATGTCGTGCTTTGTCATCGGTGTCGGGCTCAACATCTTGTTCCTCTACCGCCCGATGGCCGGCGTGCCGAAGTCGTCCTTCAGGGCCTATCTGGGTGACTGGGAAGGCAGGCAGTGGGCTCTCCTGGCCGGCTTGCTTTGTGGTTTGGGCAATGGCTTCCAGTTCATGGGTGGTCAGGCTGCTGGTTATGCTGCTGCTGATGCTGTTGAGGTCTGTTTTGCTGAATCAATGTCTAGTCCTTACTCCTTATATGCATGTTCGCATCCAGCACAGTAAAAAAAAAAAAGCATGTTTACATTGTTTATATGATTCAAAATGTTAAAAAAGAATACTACTGAATCTCTAAAAAGTATCATATCCTGTGGTAGATATGGTTTTTAACTTTTAAATAAGATGTTAGCAACTTACAAGAAAGATATTCAGAGAGAACTATAAATATGATCTAACTGTTTCTGCATTGTTGGCTATTCATCAGGCATTGCCACTTGTGAGCACATTCTGGGGCATCGTGCTTTTCGGGGAGTACCGCAAGTCGTCCAAGAAAACCTACACTCTGCTCGTGTTGATGCTGCTCATGTTTGTCGCGGCTGTAGCAACGCTCATGGCTTCAGCAGGTCACAGGAGCACAAAGTGATCATTCTGGGGCCACAGGAGTACAAAGCGAAAGTTCGCTCTGCTCGTCGAGTTCATGCTGCTCATGTTGGTCGCCGGCTATGGCCACGCTCATGGCTTCGTCCGTTCAAAGGCGCACAAAGTGATCGGCTGTCCCATCCTTTCATCTCTTCTTCTAGTTTGGGACTCCTCCTGCCACAAGGGCAATGCATAGGAATATTGGATGAAGTAAGAAGGGAAGGCAAGTGACATTGATCCATCCGGGAAGCAGGCCATGCCATGACAAAGTGGACTTTATTCCTGATGTTTTGGTCTCAATGGAGTTGTTAGATGTAGCCGCACATAACCTGAAACAAGAGATTTTGTAGTTGAAAGAGAATTTTTAGGAATTTTGGAGAATTGGAATCGTAGAAATACTTTCTAAAATCCATTTTGTATTGCAAAAAAATTCCAATGAGTCCAACCTCATGGAAAACTATTGTATCAAATGTTTTGTCTTTTGAGTTATTATAAGATTTCGCTCTTATATCACTCTGGTTGGAGAAATCAAGCTCCCTCCTTGTCAGTGAAATTTTTTCTCCAGAGCAAGTGGTTGTGATTGAAGCCTTAACACCTTGTTAGTAAGGGTAATGTGATGATATATAATTTATTTGCAGCAAATACAAATGCTCAGAAGAATATGCCTCCATCTTCTAGCGATAATGTTAGTGTATCTGCTAGTGTAGAATTTCATCGGCGCCCCCATGTCGTTGAATTCCATCGGCGCCCCCATACCTTTGACACTCGAAAAAAATTATCTAGGCTATCCAGTGTAGAAAATCCTATGGAGCGACATGTGTGATCTGTAAGACAAAAACCAGGTGATGTCTTATCAAAGCCTACAAAGGTACCATACTTTACTTGATAGTTATCCTCATCATAATTTACTACCTTGGTTGGAATTACATATCTTCTATGGAGAAATAGATGATCAACTAAGCAATGTGGATTTTAAATTCAGAAGAGCTTTTAGGAATATAGTGTTGCCTCACACACTAATTGTGTTGGCCTCATGCGCAACCACGCACCCGACCTCGCGTGGGAAATGTAGTTACATTCGAGCGCATGGCTCGCCCTTGTACGCCTACCCGCACTCAGGTTGGAACGGTCAGCGATCATTCGATACTATCCCTAAAGTTATAACAATCGCTAAATAGTCGCATCCAAAATTTGTATTCCACATAAAAACAGAGTGCCGTGGTGTCACGCCCAATATGTGATACTATTCTAAAGAGACTCGAAGGTCTCACCAAGGATAGAACCGCATATTGATACGCTTTTGCAAGGTGGATATCATTACATCAACATTACCTAATAGATGGGGATACATACAAAAGGCATACAATGCCACATGAATACAACAACATCATACATAAGAGCACCATCCGACTACGGATGAAACACAAACAGAAGCTCAACCGACATCCACCCTGCTAGCCCAGGCTGCCGACCTGGAACCTAATCCCCTGATCGAATAAGAAGCAAAAGAAGAACTCCAAAACAAGCAAACATCGCTCTCGCGTCGTGATCATCACAAAACATGTACCTGCAACTGTTGTTGTAGTAATCTGTGAGCCACGAGGACTCAGCAATCCCATTACCATGGGTATCAAGACTAGCAAAGCTTAATGGCAAAGGAAGGGGTAAAGTGGTGAGGTTGCAGCAGCGACTAAGCAAGTATGGTGGCTAACATACGCAAATGAGAGCGAGAAGAGAAACAACGGAACGGTCGTAAAACTAGCAATGATCAAGAGGTGATCCTGAACTCCTACTTACGTCAAACATAACCCAAAGTCGTGTTCACTTCCCGGACTCCGCCGAAAAGAGACCATCACGGCTACACACGCGGTTGATGTGTTTTAATTCGTATCTGGTGTCAAGTTATCTACAACCGGACATTAACAAATTTCCATCTGCCACATAACCGCGGGCACGGCTCCCGAAAATTTATACCCTGCAGGTGTCCCAACTTAGCCCATCACAAGCTCTCATGGTCAACGAAGGATATACCTTCTCCCAGGAAGACCCGATCTGTTGGGGAACGTTGCAGAAAATTAAAATTTTTCCTACGGTTTCACCAAGATCCATCTATGAGTTCATCTAAGCAACGAGTCTAGGGAGAGAGTTTGCATCTACATACCACTTGTAGATCGCGTGCGGAAGCTTGCAAGGTGATGATGTAGTCGTACTCGACGTGATCCAAATCACCGATGACCAGCGCCAAACGGACAGCACCTCCGCGTTCAACACACGTACGGAACAGCCACGTCTCCTCCTTCTTGATCCAGCAAGGAAGGGAGGAGAGGTTGAGGGAGATGGCACCAGCAGCAGCACGACGGCGTGGTGTTGATGGAGCTGCAGTACTCCGGCAGAGCTTCGCTAAGCACTATGGAGGTGGAGGAGGTGTTGGGGAGGAAGAAGGAGGCAACCAAAGGCCAGGGCGTTCAGGTATGAAGTCCCTCCTCTCCCCCACTATATATAGGGGTGCCAAGGGGGGGTGTCCGGCCCTAGGAGATCCAATCTCCTAGGGGGTGCGGCGGCCAAGGGGGGTTTTCCCTCCCCCCAAGGCACCTAGGAGGTGCCTTACCCTCCTAGGACTCTTGCCCCCTTAAACCCTAGGCGCATGGGCCTATGTGGGGCTGGTGCCCTTGGCCCATTAGGCCAAGGCGCACCCCCCTACAGCCCATGTGGCCCCCCGGGACAGGTGGACCCCCGGGACCCTTCCGGTGGTCCCGGTACAATACCGATAACCCCGAAACTTGTCCCGATGCCCGAAACAGGACTTCCCATATATAAATCTTTACCTCCGGACCATTCCGGAACTCCTCGTGACGTTCGGGATCTCATCCGGGACTCCGAACAACATTCGGGTTACTGCATATACATATCCCTATAACCCTAGCGTAACTGAACCTTAAGTGTGTAGACCCTACGGGTTCGGGAGACATGCAGACATGACCGAGACTCTCTCAGTCAATAACCATCAGCGGGATCTGGATACCCATGATGGCTCCCACATGCTCCTCGATGTTGTCATCGGATGAACCACTATGTCGAGGATTCGATCAAACCCTGTATGCAATTCCCTTTGTCAATCGGTACGTTACTTGCCCGAGACTCGATCGTCGGTATCCCAATACCTTGTTCAGTCTCGTTACCGGCAAGTCACTTTACTCGTACTGTAATGCATGATCCCGTGTCCAACACCTTGGTCACATTGAGCTCAATATGATGATGCATTACCGAGTGGGCCCAGAGATACCTCTCCGTCATACGGAGTGACAAATCCCAGTCTCGATCCGTGTCAACCCAACAGCTACTTTCGGAGATACCTGTAATGCACCTTTATAGTCACCCAGTTACGTTGTGACGTTTGATACACCCAAGGCACTCTTACGGTATCCGGGAGTTACACGATCTCATGGTCGAAGGAAGAGATACTTGACACTTCCAAAGCTCTAGCAAAACGAACTACACGATCTTTTATGCTATGCTTAGGATTGGGTCTTGTCCATCACATCATTCTCCTAATGATGTGATCCCGTTATCAACGACATCCAATGTCCATAGTCAGGAAACCATGACTATCTGTTGATCACAACGAGCTGGTCAACTAGAGGCTTACCAGGGACATAGTGTGGTCTAAGTATTCACACGTGTATTACGATTTCCGGATAATACAGTTATAGCATGAATAAAAGACAATTATCATGAACAATGAAATATAATAATACTTTTATTATTGCCTCTAGGGCATATTTCCAACAGTCTCCCACTTGCACTAGAGTCACCAATCTAGTTACATTGTGATGAATCGAACACCCATAGAGTTCTGGTGTTGATCATGTTTTGCACGCGAGAGAGGTTTAGTCAGCGGATCTGCGACATTCAGATCCGTGTGCACTTTGCAAATCTCTATGTCTCCATCTTGAACATTTTCACGGATGGAGTTGAAACGACGCTTGATGTGCCTGGTCTTCTTGTGAAACCTGGGCTCCTTTGCGAGGGCAATAGCTCCAGTGTTGTCACAGAAGAGTTTGATCGGCCCCGACGCATTGGGTATGACTCCTAGGTCTGTGACGAACTCCTTCACCCAAATCGCTTCATGTGCTGCCTCCGAGGCTGCCATGTACTCCGCTTCACACGTAGATCCCGCCACGACGCTCTGCTTGCAGCTGCACCAGCTTACTGCTCCACCATTCAACATATACACATATCCGGTTTGTGACTTAGAGTCATCCAGATCTGAGTCGAAGCTAGCGTCGACGTAACCCTTTACGACGAGCTCTTCGTCTCCTCCATAAACGAGAAACATGTCCTTTGTCCTTTTCAGGTACTTCAGGATATTCTTGACCGCTGTCCAGTGTTCCTTGCCGGGATTACTTTGGTATCTTGCTACCAAACTTACGGCAAGGTTTACATCGGGTCTGGTACACAGCATGGCATACATAATAGATCCTATGGCTGAAGCATAGGGGATGACACTCATCTCTTCTTTATCTTTTGCCGTGGTCGGTGACTGAGCTGAGCTCAGTCTCATACCTTGTAACATAGGCAAGAACCCCTTCTTGGACTGATCCATTTTGAATCTCTTCAAAATCTTATCAAGGTATGTGCTTTGTGAAAGACCTATGAGGCGTCTCGATCTATCTCTATAGATCTTGATGCCTAATATATAAGCAGCTTCTCCAAGGTCCTTCATTGAAAAACACTTATTCAAGTAGGCCTTAATGCTGTCCAGAAATTCTATATTATTTCCCATCAGGAGTATGTCATCTACATATAATATGAGAAATGCTACAGAGCTCCCACTCACTTTCTTGTAAACGCAGGCTTCTCCATAAGTCTGCATAAACCCAAACGCTTTGATCATCTCATCAAAGCGAATGTTCCAACTCCGAGATGCTTGCACCAGTCCATAAATGGATCGCTGGAGCTTGCATACTTTGTTAGCATTCCGAGGATCGACAAAACCTTCCGGCT